TAACCGAAGAGCCAGACGACAGAGCCTGAGAAGCTACCGAAAGAGGAGTAGGTGACATCGAATAGCTTCCGGTTCTGCTCAGATCGACACTTTGTCTTTCTGCGATTTCGTATAAATGATGATGGTGATACCGTGGATTTTGTATTTGCACACCAAAACCATGGTGAAATCCTCTAGCAGACATATCTAAACCCTGAAGTTCCCCATTAAAAGTCTTGCTCAAGGGGATCATATTTATACGATGTTGAGAGATCTAGCTGCATTGTCTTCTCTTTGACAGAAAGGCTGAGATTTTGTGCAACTGAATCACCTTCATCACTAGATAAATTATCCGCGGATAGTGGATGATGGTGATGGTGGTGGTGGTGGTGATGATGATGATGAACATCTTGATATCGTGGATTTGGCGTTGCCGAAGGTGATACCAAATCTTCTTGTTGAAGATGAATGTAACTGTTCGGTGAAGAAACACGTGGTATCTCCTCGTGATGCAAATACTGTTCAATGTTATGTGTTCTTGGTGTACCGATGTAATCAACAGGCCGATGCAATTGATAATCGACGTGTAAATGCGTGGGTGGCGTGTTTCGACTATCTGGTGTAGGTGTAGGAGATATGAGTTCCTCTTGTTGTTGCATATAAGAATCTAAATGATTTGGAGATCTCTGAGGTAATGGAGATTGTAGCTGACTGGAGATCGAATAGAGATTTGTATCACGGTCATTATCCTCCAATATTGGACTTGTTACCGCTCCTATGTCTCTCTCAGCCGCATCAAGAGCAGCTTCGACTAACAAACTAGCATTCGCACTTTCCGTTCTTCTATAAACACTAAGTCCCAATTTAGTATTCTCCATAATACCTTGTGTTCTGGTACTGTTTACGGATGATGATATTTTATCGTCAATTTCCTTTCTAGCGTCTTCAAAATCGTAAGTGTTTCCGGTAACCACGCTCGTTGTTAAATGAGAAATCGCATTAGGCACTACAGTTATATCCGAGGTAATCGGAGGATTGAATTCACCAAGCCATTTTTTACTTCCTTTACTTTGTAATCTGGAAGTACCATAAAGATCCGTTTCCGTGCGAACACTTTCTATCGCCGATTCAAGACCACTTGATGTTATACCCATTGGAAGTGACGGTGTTGAAATTCGTGAATTATGTTCAATTTTATACTTGGATGAGGGACTAGTTCCAAATTCGATTATACTTGAATGTGTAGAATTATTCGGCGTTTCAATCTTTAAGTCGTTTTTAGAATTGCTATCATCTATAGATGCTGCATTACTACTGTCTTCTTGCTGCACATATCACAAAGAAAATATTATGTTTCAAAACGATTCGATGTTATTAATATGGACAAAACAGGATAGATTTTATTTAAGAACAAACCTGAGAGTTTTTTCTACTAGGTCGAGGAGTCTTCCCGCGACCAACATCTTCGACAAGACCACCGCTATATGCATCGAAAGTGTAGGCAACAGATCGTTCGATTTTTGGCATCATTTCTTCTGTAAGACCGTGTACCTTCTTATAATGAAATTGCAAACATTGTTTAGTTGTAAAAGCTGCTTTGCACCCATTTTCTTTACATCTACAATTCAAAGGAAGCAAATGTTTGTTACCACATGCACTAAATAAGTAGAAGAGATAACATACAAAAGAATTTTATAATCTTACTTAAATGGTTTCACTCCACTATGCGTTAACATATGTATTTTGAGGTTACTCTTATTTTGAAACATCTTTCCACACCGATCACAAGTCGCGGCACCGACAACGTCTTTATGATGAACCTCTTTCATATGCCGTTGAAGGGCAGCACGAGATCCGAGAAGTTTCAGACATAACTTACATTGAAATTCTCGGAGCACCTCAGACATATCTAAATATTAATATATTCGTGAGAATTCAATACGAAAATTCAATTAAATAATATTGACTGCACAAACGAATACTTACCACTATGCATTCGTTTGATGTGCACTTTTAATTTTTGTGGCTGACAAAATTTACGTCCGCAAAAGTCACACAAAGGTCTTGAACGTTGTGGATTTTGTGCACAACCGTAGGTACGATGCATTTCGAGATAATTCAAACGTAAAAAGAATTTCTTACAATATTGACATTGATATGCACCTCGACCCGCGTGCAATTCTGCTGCGTGCTTCATGATATTATCCTTGCCTAAAACAGCGGCTCCGCATACCTAAAAAGTACGAAATAAACGCGCATACTTACTCATCAAGAAGCAAACAATACAATAGATGATATTCAACTGTTACCTACCTTACAATGATATTTTCTTATGGTCAAACTATAGTTGGTGTCATGGAAAATGCAACAATGCAGGCGATAATATATTGGATGAGCAAAATTTAAATTACATCCTCCACAATCTAGATAAAGTAAAAAGGAGTAAAGAAAACGAAATTAACTCAACATTTGACTATTTGATTATTTGATCATGTTTTTAACAACATTCACTAGTAATGTTGAAATAGAGAAAGGTGATACTATACTCGTTTTGTCTACTTTGTTCTTTCGAGTCCATGCAGACGATTGCGAGTCTGCCCAATAAGTCAGTTCCATTCCTGATACAATATTCTGTGTAGTAACAAGATGCAATTCTCCTTGCTTTGTTATTACAGCTACACTTCTTTCTTCCTTTGTCTCAGCAGGTCTAATATAACGAATCCAATTACTTTTTAATGGATTAGTGGTACTTATATATGAAGTTTTACCATTATTATCTATCTAAAAAAAAAAAAAGGAAATTTCCCATTTTATTAAGATACTCTTACAAGACAGTACTTACAGTAAACAAAATAAATGTAGTTTATACATACAAAGATAATAAATATTGCATTGATTTTACCTCCCAAATATGTCTCATGGGAAAGTCATCAGGAATGTCCATTTCTCTAACTGGCCGTCCAACAAGAGGACCTAGTTTAACATGTATTGGAACAGAACTTTTCGCATATATTCCAAGCCCGTGTTCCGCATTAGTGATTTTTAACTCAAAACATTCAGGCAACGAATCTCTGGCAAATAATGGGTGATCTACATCTATAGTTAATTGTTTTTCCTCTTTTTGAGTTTTCATTTTTGTTTTACATAGTTCAGTCAATAAAGAGTCATCATCTGATTCATTATCCTCTGATACTTTTCCATATCCTTCAGACATAGGATCATCTGATTTTGTAGCCTTTAAAACTTCAGAATTTTCTTTGTGCTTATTTAGCCAATCTTCGTATGTAATTGAATCTGGAATGGTATATTGAGGTGTTGTTAATGGACAGGCATCTTGTAAATGACGATTATTGCATTCTTGACAGAGCTTTATTTTAATGGCTAATCTTTGAGGCTCTGACAGTAGGTTTTCAACATTTGTTTCACTCTGAAGTTTCTCAGCTGTAATAGAGGTTGTGTCATCTATTGTAGAACAAATATTTTTATCTTCTTGCACAATTATTCCATCTTGCGGTGCTTTCCTTACATCATGATGTTTACGATTTTTATGTTCATTAGTATGCTTGTGCCTTTTTTTTCTGTGTTTATGTATAGAATCATCTATAACATCATCAGATGAGTCCTCCTTTATATTTTCATCATCTTCCTCTTCAGCATCATATTTCAGTCGTTTTCGTCTCTTTTTTAATTTTCGATCTTCTACTTCTTGAACTGTATTCATGTTAATATTTGAACAATTAGAATTTGTATTAACACATTGAATGTCACTTGAAATAATTTTGTCATCTTTTGTTTCACTGGATTGAATATGAGAAATAATTGTTGTTGTTGAATCTGTTGTATTTGTGATTTGTTTCACCACACTTTCATTGATGCTCTTAACAACTGAAGATGCTGCTAAACTATTAGACCTTGATTGCTCATTCTTATTACTAATCATCATAATTCTTTCCATATCAACATCTTCAATATCATGATAAAGTACATTTTTGTTAATATTTACATTTTCTATATATTCTATGCTATCTATGTGTTCAGTCTTTGTCATAACAGATTCAACTGCCTTCGTAGTAATACGAAGACTGTTTTTTAAATTCGACTTGACATCTATTCCACTGATTAATCTAAACTTATCCTTTTGAATGGAAAGCTGTTCCTCATCTCCTGATGTTATATCACTAGAAAATTGTTTAGTAGGTTCTATTGGTGAAACAATATTTTCAGTTTTAAGGTGTTTTTTCTTTTTCCGCTTATCTTTATGATGTTTAGCTTTATTTTTATGGTGCTTGGATCTTGAGCTACGTCGAACATGTACTACAGCATCATTGGGCAATTTTGTTTGTGCAATACCAATAGACTGTGTTTCAGATTCTAAAACTGTGCTACTGTTTTGTTTCCTTAGACTCCGACGCAAAGATTCACCAGTATCTTCTGTTAAATCTTCAGTCTGCATAGTTTCTGCTTTATTCTTCTTATCCTGACCCATTTTCCTTTCTTCCTCTCCATTGCATTTGGTGCTGTGTCTATCAACCATAAATATGTAGCTGAGTCAAGGTAATCGAGCAATGCAAAATATAGATACAAAGGAAAATATTAAAACAATAGTATAAATTATCAATTTTTGAAGATACAAATGGGAATCAACTTAAAATAGGAAGCAGTCAACGGTTACTAGCGTTTTTATAAGTATTAAGAGGAAATTGATTTACCTGAATGCATTTCGTATTTGTAGTTAAATAAAATAGACATTTCTTCTGTACCGGTCGATCCGTGTTCTCAAAGAAAATCAAAATCAATGAAAATCAGTAAAATCGATAAAACTGACGATTGTGTTTTTAACGAATAAAAAATTATCGATTATTTTCACCCCTCTAATATCAACCCCACAAGATGGCGATTCGAGGGAAAATTTGGACACGGTAGAGGGGAAGTCCCGCTTCCGAGTGACAAGATATATACGTTCAAGTATCGATTAAAATAATTGTTTACAGTATAAACAAAATATTAATATCAGTCTAAACAATTTCTAATTAAAACCAAGAAAGAGATTTCTCTATCTGAAGGATCTATCACAAACCTACCTGGAAGCAGATTCGGCAAGATCCAGCAAATAAACCGCAACATCTTCATCCGTTGACAGACCTAAGCGTTTTTTAAGAGAAAGCCAACGTTTGCCGTTGGTAAGACCGATGCGAACGCTTCGAAAGTGTTTCGTTTTCGGTTCCGGTATTGTTCCAGAATTATTGCTTTTATGATGAGAACTTCTCGTTAACCCCGACTCTCTCACATGCCTAGTACTTTTCTTCGGCATAACTACATCGTAGATCTGCCGGTATTAAAGCGGCGAACTTGAAGCTACCGCGGAGGTCGCGCACCGATATTATCCTATCCTCTTTATGCTCACCGCCTGACCATCGCCGCCCACTCCGCCCTTTCCGCCCACCCTCGTCACTCAGCACCCCGACAACCACTCGCATCCACCAAACATCTATTTCACTCTCTCTACTTCTTCGGTATTCTACTTTCCTTTTTCATACCCCATGTACCCCGTGACCACGATCTTTCTCTTCTATCGATCCTGTCGGCTACGCTTCATCACTATGCATACGTACTACGTACGCTCTATCTACGAACACACTTGCACAACTTGCATACAATATGAGCATGCATACATCTGAGTATATACGATGATGCATGATCCTATATTGTAGGTGTACAAGTTTATATAGAATAAACACCTAGCTAATACGAGCAACTTACATTTTTTATATACATTATACAAACTGCAACTGTATTCGTATGTAATCCTGAATCATATAATTCACCTGCATTTTTTATAGCAATTTAAATAATAAGGTTTAAAATACGCAAATCAATTTTCAATTTTTATATTAATTTAATATTTATTTTATTTTCCTAACATAAATAACTTATAAAATAAAAATAACTTATAAAACTCACATTAATATAATTATAAAATACACTTAACTATCTCATAAATCATTTTTCAATTTATTCGATACAATTCTTACTGTTGAATGAATTTATAAAATGTATAATTTGTGTAAACAACTATTTCGTTTATGTACTTAATGCACATATTTATTTTCATACATAATTCACTTTCTATTTACATATGATTTTACAAACCCGTTCCTTTTCGGCTATTTATCGCGATATCTCGCAGCTGTCTAATACTTAAGTGATTAATTTACAACGAATAAATATCGACCAAATTAATACCTTTAAATCGAATCTTTATATCGAGTGCAGTATAATCGATGTCACATCTCGATAGGTACGAACTCGACTAATCGATAACATCGCAGAAGAAGTACAGGATCGGTGCGTCGTCCGTGGATCATAGTCTTTCGGGAGCTAGGGTTGAAGTTATAGGCATTGCAAGAATTGTCAAAAAGAAATGTCACGAAGAGCACTTAAAGCAATAAATTGGGCCGCTTTTGCGGAGCGAATTCCAGAATCTGAAAAAACTACTTTATCCGCTTTTAAATCTAAATCTGATAAATTTTTGCAGCGGTTAGTAATTTGAACATTTATTTCGTTACATAATATTTTCACATGTACGTATTAAATCTGCGTTAGAATAATCAAGAAGCCTGAAAAACATACTGTTCAACTAATGAAGTTCTAATTCTTCTCTTCTTAAATTTCACATAAGTGGTTGCAAAGGCAAATTGTCATAACCTCCTCGGAATTAATTCAAAAACAATCTTAATACATTGTAATAGCAATCCATTAGAAAAACATTTGAGAATACAAGCGAAGTGTATCATTTAAAATGATTTTTTACGTTAGTATAAGTGGAATATTAAATTTTTATAGAAAAATAATATAGGCAGATCTAAGTAGATGCAAAAAATGTAATAATGATTCAGAAAAGAATTTGTTTTACAGCATGATGGCTAATCCAGAAGCTCTACCAAAAATTGATTGGACATATTACAAAAAAACTATTGCAACTCCTGGTTTAGTAGACAAGTTCCAAAAAGAATATGAATCAATATCAATACCATATCCAGTAGATAAGTATACAGCAGAAATTGATAATGCACAGAAAGAAACGGTAACAAAATAAAATTTTATTTTCTTATATTTGACATTAGAAAGTTATATTTTATTAGTATTGCTGTCATATTGCAGGCTAAAAAGATAGAACAGTTTATCGAAGAAACAAATGCAACAATTAGCTCTATGGAAAAAGAAATCAATAAACTCAAAGCCATGCTACCATATGCAGAGATGACAATGGATGATTTTATTGAAGCACATCCAAAAGCATTCATGAGAACTGATGTAGTTACAACATGGCCTCATACAGACGATTCACAAGAAGATTTGAATGACGATACTCCAGATGAAAATGATCATTAATTGAATTTCACTTAGTTCTGATGTAACATTCATAACATTCTGTTATTAAGCTGTTGTACTATCAGTGTATTTAATTATCAGTAAAAAACCCAATTTATTAAGATTCTGAAACTATCATGCAATGTTAAATACACAAATATAAATATGTATTCGTTATGTTTTTGTAATTGTTAATTAAAAATATATTTAACCTATAAATAGATCAATTTCGAAAATCTGCAGAAAGATAAATTGTTTATATTACCATAAAAAATTAAATTTAAATCATTGTTTTATTGAAAAATCGTGACACGGCAACCTACTCTCAATTTCAAAAAGTATATTACAAATAATGAAAATACCGAAGTAGAAAGGAAAATTTTTTAAAGGCTCGTTTTCAAGTAAACCAATTTTGGTGAAAACATCGATTGATTGTTGATGCATTTTCGTTTGATACTAGATGGTAATCAAATTGCAAAACGAAGAAACGTAACCATAATTAACACGTAGTGGAATATTTTTAATTATTAAATGTTGTATAAACTGGATCGGCCATTAAAACGAATGGTAATAAATGTATAGTTATAAATTATAGCAATAAAACGACGCGGCTTGTACATATATAATGATTTTGATGGTATTGGTTGATCCAAGCCAATCGGATATCGGAATCGATCAGAATATTGTTCCAACGATAGTTTGCATTGGTTCAAGTTTTCTTTAGTTGCTTCATCGTTTCATTGCACTTAGTTTCGTTGCAGTAGGTGTAGAAGTGTAACGTAATTACACGTAGCTATAACTAAAATTCTTAGTTAATGTATGTAGGTGTGAAATAATTATATTTGTGCCAAATAATATTTTCTATATGTGCAGTGCCTGTTTGCTTCGTTAAGCAATTCGTTACTGTTTAGAACACATGTGGCGTATTCATTAATCGAATAAATTTTGTTTTTTTCTGTTTCTCTTTCTTTATTTTTTCTTTATTTTATACATATATTTTTCATTTTTATTTTGCAACTTTTCATGAATTTAGAAAGGATTTTAACGTCAAAAAGATAATTTCAAAAATGATACTGGATGTTTACAGAAAGCATGTCAACGAATAGTGTGGAAGGTACCACTCGTAAATGGTGTTTAATCCTTTTCAATTGTGTGGTTGGTTCTTGTATATCCACCTAAATCTGTTAATTCGAACGGATGCACATGATTTTTCGAAAATTCCAGAGATCCTTTTATGCTTATATCGGTACACGAATAAGATTGTGATATATTTCAATTTTTACCGATTTATAAATTCTTGTATAGGTTCTCTGTTGATCGGTTGTTGTCGATACGGTATGTACTTACAGATCGAACGCGTGGAGAATCGGTTACGATACCATTTTACCCTTTGAGATTTTCTTTTGACTATTAACACGAAATACTTTCAACGAGAAATCAAAGTGTTCCACGCGAGTACGATATTGCTTTTCGAAGCAAACGATACTTACATAAATTGGAGTAAATATTACGATATTTAATCATTCTATTATCGTATTTTTTACACGTAAATAACTTGAACGTCGCTTTTATTTGAAAAATTTTGTATTAGAGTTTTTATTGTATTGTACAATTTATCCTCTTTTTTCATTACTAATTTTCATTTATTTGGTGGCCATTCAACATCTTTGCACATTAAAGATGTGGGTGCAAACAATTTAACCTGAACAATATAAAAGTTATTGAATTCTGATGAGCTATATTCAACTACAAGATTCTTATGATTTTAAATTTTTGATTGTTTATTGATATAGAAACTTATTACTATATGTGATTCGTATATTATTGATGCAAAGTGTAGGTCATGCAGATCATCTGCAGAGTAATGTAATGAATAGCTGTGGGAACTCTAATATTAGCACAAAGCTACGCGGATCTAAGTGCTCAGAGATACAAGAAGAATCTGTTAGTAATAATCGAGCTGGTATATTAGAGAAAGGAGACATCAATGTTTTAAGTGGATATAGTTCAAATGATTTTAATGCTACAAGAGGCACTTTGGTTATTTGTCAAAGAAGTACAAACAATTATTCATCTGAACATAGCTTTTCCAGATTCAAACCAAGGTAAAGTAATCTGTTGGAGATTTTTTAAGACATTCTTTAGTTTTTACTAAAACAATTTTTATGAATTATTGCAGAATTGGAGGTGCTCCACGCAATGAATTTCGAATGGCTCGTGGGGGTAGCTCTGGAGATCGTGCCAGAGGTGCTTTGCGGGGTAGGGCTTTTAAAAAGACACCCATTGAACGTGATTCCAATACAGAAACTAGCTATTACCCTACAACTAGATCAAAATTTCAAGAATCGCTGAAAAATCAAGAAAATGCACAGGGAAAGTATTATGACGACAAAAGAATAAATGGTCTGAATTTTTTAAATTTTTAGGATGTATTAGTTGTAATGGTTCTATTACAATTAAATGCTTAAGTTGATTTTATTGTATTACAGAAGATTCTAGAATTTCTAAACTTTTGAGAAGATTGTGCAGAGAAGATGATTATGATCATTTTATGGTGCTATGTAAACAAGCACAGGAAGGTATAATAGCACCTGAAAATCAGAGATACATAAAGCGAAATTTGGATGCCATCTGTGAAAGCCTACTAGATGTATTACATACTGGTCCTGGACCAGAAGCAAAACAGCAAGTTTCAAAATGTTTAGGTCGCATTGGATATGCTTCTGAACAAGATTTTAAACGGTAAATAAATTGTTTGATAGCTTCTACCATGTTCAAAAAATGAAAATTTTTATTCAATGCAAATCAAATTTATACAGATATATGGATTGGGTCTTCAATAAGTGTTCATTGGAACGGAAAGATGATATAAAGTGCCTTTTAATTAAATCGTTCATTGAAGCTTTTAAACTAGACTCAGAAGCGCCAAGATTAAAGGAATTTTCAATGGTATATAAATTTTCTTCCTTGAATTATTTTGCAATTAATGACGTAGCCAATGAACTATACTACATTTTGTTTTTTGTAGTTAATGATGTCGCAATTGCAATCAACACTGGAGAATGTCGACCGATCGGATCTGTTAGTAGCAACGGTGGATGCGATATTGTTGATAATGGAATCTTATCCTGAAACATTTTCAAATCATTTTCGTGATACAGTTGACATATTAGTCGGCTGGCATATCGATTCGACTCAGCAGAAGGCAATTGCAACCTATGCTAGTCGTAGTTTGCAAAGATTGCGAACTTTTTGGATAGCGGATCTACAATTCACTCTGACCTTATTAGGACAATTTTTAGAGGATATGGAAAGCTATGACGAGGAACTGTCTTTGCCTGAATCTGGGAGAAGTTCACCTGGAGATGAAGCATCGCCAACGCCGAAGGAATGCATCCGTCGTATTACTTCTTTGATCTCGGTGTTCAATACAGTTACAAAAAGTATATCCGAGCATTTGAATCCCAATCGTACTCCAAACGTGCAATGGTCATTTCTATCTGATTGTTTGTCAAAAATGCTGAAAACAGTTGTAAAAGCGATCGAATTGGACGACGATAATGAGATCTGGCTTTTAAATTTTTCCCTTACATCTGAGAGCGTCGATGAATTATTGAAATACGTTAAAAACGTAAGCAGTGTTCCGTCAAGATATTCCAGTAAATCTGAACTGATCGAAGAAGACGTCATTAATATGTTCAAGTCTTTGAATTTGAATAAAAATGAATTAAAGAATTTAAAACAGAACATCGAGAGAGAGACTTCATTGAAAGAAAGGGAATCATTGTTAAATGTTGTACGATGGATGGAACTAAAAACAAAAAAAGATATAGATTTAACTGAGGAAAAAGAAGAATTGGTAGTAGTCGCAAACGAATGTGCATTTTTGTTGCTAGGGTATCTTCAGAGTCGCACAACAAAGAATCACGAATTACTTTATAAATTCATCGATCTTCAGTTAAAAAGAATTAACGTTTTTTGGGATGATACTATAATTTCCATGTTGAATACTATCTCAAAAATAATAAAAGAGGTTTCCGCAAATCTACCCCTGGAATTGGTGCACAAATTACTTGGAAAAGACTCCGCGTTACTCAAATTGAGATTTCGTGATTCGATTTCTATTCAGAACGCCAGTCTCGGGGTATATCATAGTCTCCTTGGTTTGAAAAATATCCCATTATTACAAGAATCGTACCGCTATATACTGTCCGATTTGGAGATTGCTTATAAACTTATCTTAGCAGATATCGAAAGTTTGGTAGCAGATAATCCATTACTGGATGACATTAAATACAAAAAGAATGATGCAGAAATTGTAGTTACTTTTCTGCTTAGAGCTCTTTCCGATATAGGTAAACTAAAGCGTGATAATTGTTTCAAACCGAAATAAGCTGAACTTACGTTCGTACATCTAGTACATTTAATTAGTTTCCTACTAACATTTACCGTAATATTTTTTAGCGAACGCGAGCAATTCGATCATTGGTATGTGGGCATTAAAACCGAGTATTTTGGAGTTATTGGCAGTCAAATTGAAACCTTATAACAGCACTTTATCGACAACTAGTCCATTTTTGCAATATAGTATTTTATATTTGCTATACGCGCATTGTTCTAGGTAGGGCATACAAAAAGAAATTAAAGAGAAAACGTATAAGTGTTGGCCTATCAATTTTAATCTCATCTTTTATATTCCAGGTATAATCATTTTGTGCCAAGTTCAAGTTTAATAACTGGAACAACCGCTTGTCGTCCAATAGATATGTTTCCAGGAGCTCTGGATGTACCAACGACATCACCTACCAGCGGCCACCTCTCTATCATTCTGAACCTAATAGCTAAAAGTTATAACGAGCACACACCGGAGCAAACATTATTGCTCCTTTCAACGTGGATGCAAGAGATTTGTATTCAGTCAGAAAATTATATTGGTATTCTGAGTAAAACAAAAGAGTACGAGAATGTTCTCGCGAGTCTGGTTGCTTGTGGAGCTACTATCGATAGAAATATCTCCATTGCTGTTTGCGATCTCTTTGAGATATTAATGAGTGCAAAGAATGTCACTTGGAAAGAGGAAATTTATGCATCTATCGTGGATTTAGTGATGTTGCATTTAACTTCACGAGATGAAATCGTACGAGAAAAGTATGGCTCGCTATTGACGCGAGTGCCTCTAAATATAGTGATACCGAAACTGAACATAGACTGCTTATTATCGGAGACTAAGGTAGGTTTGGAAGATTTATTTTTAAAAAGATAGATGATTCTACTTGGATATTTCTTTCTCGCAGAAATATCAGAGAATTAAAAGTTACTCGACCGAGTCTTTAATTCTTACTCAAAGATTACATATGCGTGGAAACAATAACGGAGAGTTGCAAGCTCAACATTTCAAGACCTATATGGCTTTTTTGTTGCAAGAGCAATATCTGGATGCGTCTGGACTGTCGGAGATATTTACATTGTGTTGGCCAATTGTGTAAGTAAAAGTAGCAAAATCAATTGCTTCTGTGAAAGTAGTTAATATCTATAATATTCCTTATTGTTCGCATTCACAGATCCGAGAGCGAAACTACGAAGAAGATGTACCGTTTGGCACTGGCAAATCGATCCTTCCTATATTTTTGGGCTGGTTTCGAGGCAGCTCAGCACTGTGTGACCAACAAGCTTCGTACCTCGTTAGGGAAACCGCAGGAAACATTTACATCTATCGAAAGTGCACTGAAAACATTAGCACGTGAGATATCGTACAGCTTCGAGGCGACCAAGAAAGAGAAACGAAGTTTGGATAATTTGTTAGGTGAACACACTCGTGTGCGCCTGTTCATTGAATTTCTCGAACATCTTGAAAGGGTAATACACAATGCGGCAGAGGGTTGCGCGATCGCCCTGTCGTCACTGCCGAAACCAGTTAGAACCTTTTTCCATACGAACAAATCGACTTGCAAGGAATGGTTGAATCGTATTCGACTAGCATTATGCGTAGTATCGTTGCATTCAGGATTGGCTAGTAGCGCTTTGAGGAACAGTCAGAGACTATTAGAAGATTTAAATAATAGCGATAACACGCAGGGTATCGAATATGAAAGAGCAACGCTTTGTACGGCGCAAGCAATGGTAATGTTAGGTGAGGCGGAGGCGCTGCAAGGGCTTTACGTTTACACCAAGGAAAAAGATAGAAAATTTCCGTGGTTAAAGGCCGCCATGGAAGAGGCTGCAAATCGTTACGAATCCGCTGCTGAAGCCTACAAATTGATCATCGAGGACAGTATGCGTGCTGCAAGTAGTCGACCAGGAAAAGATTCAGAACAAGAAGAAGAAGGAGGGGAAGATGAGACGGACAATAGTGGTAATGGCGGTGCTGATGGTCCTGGTGGAGGTGAGGATGTTACCTCTGATGGAAAGGGCAAAGGTGTGAAGTCGGAAGGAGACAGTCAAGTTCTTAGTTTTTGTATGCAACGACTGTGTTATTGCTACGGAGCCGTCAGTGATTGGTCTCGATTGGAAGCTTGGAAACAACAGGAGGCTGAGTTATTTGCGCGAGATAAAAACGTCGTGCTCAGAAAGCACTTACCAATGGAGAACATTGCCTTTAGACAGGCAAAATGTTTGAGAAAATTCGAAAACGGTGAAAGCATATGTCTAGATGAACTAACTGACTGGAACTTGATGGATGGAGAAGCTGGTAAAAATGGAAATTGGAGTTGTGCGAAAACGCTTGTCGAATGCAGCAATACGCTAACTAATATTGCACTCAGGATTCACGTGAACGATTACAAAGATTATTTCGAGGAAGAAATTGAACGATGCCGAAGAGTGGCGGCTAAAACTATGGAGGAAGGTTTAAGAAATGTACCTTCGGAGTATTTGAACGAATCGATATTGGTACGATTCTCAGCAGACGGGTTAAAGGCCTTGCTCTCTGGTCATGAAGATAACGTGTTCGAATTATACAAAAGTGAGAAAGTAGATCATATGAATTCGAGCGTTTTGTCACGAACTTTATGGTGGTCAGAATATTTCGGCAGAGCAAGAAAGAACAATAGTTCTGAAACGCGGTTTGATAACAATGAGGTAGTTGATTTACGGCTGCATATCGTTCGAACTGCCAGGAAGGAAGGTAACTTCGAGCTAGCGAAACGCGAACTTCTCAATTATTTGAGGACCGAACGAGAGCTGTGTCGACTGGACGAATGCAAAGGGGGTGAACGAGATTACGTTGATATCGATTTCGATCAAGTAACAGAAGATGTCCTGAAGAATGTGACGCATGTAAAATGGTCGAAGAACAATATACGTGCGTTCCGCGAATTTTCAAAGTTACTATACGACATGGAACGAGTCGACAAAGCATTGAAAGTCTGTAGCGCAACTGCGCTTGGAATATCTCGAACTATTGTTGACGGAGAACAATCGGCTGACTTACGAGAGAACGGTACTATTCTTCTTCTCACTCTTGGCAAATGGATACAACAAGAAGTCGGCAGTACTGAAAATGGCCAGTTGGAACAACTTCTTGAATTCGAAGCTGCTCATAACGACGGCTTGATGAACAAACTGTTCGGACCAACGGCGAGTTCAATACCAGTTTCAGACATGATAATCGGCAGATTGACGCAGCTCGGTGTAAATCAGTGTCCAGATTTGCCACTCGCGTGGTGCAACTTCGCTAGCTGGTGTTACAAATGGGGAAGGAAGATCGTAGACAATTCAAATTCAGGACAATTAACTGATGCAGATAGAAGCACCATACGAGACCTGCTTCCATTCGAGACAGACGAATCTGACTTGAACGCGATCTTTTCCATTCTCTCTCAGAGTAAAACAATCCCTGAAGACGAAAGTGAAATAACAGACACATCCAATGATGTTAATACCTCAGATATGATAGAGAACCAATTACGAAGTGTTCCAATACTGAATCGTGCTAGTGCTGATCGCCTAGGAATATTCGTCGATATCTGGAGACAGGCGCAGAAGAGGATTTATTCCTATTACGAGCTTTCAGCGAACGCATACTTCAAGTACTTGCAGCTTGCTGCGATTAAAGAAGCAAACGATTGCGCTACTATCACAGCTACACTCAGACTTCTACGACTAGTTGTAAAACATGCTCTTGAATTACAGAACGTTTTAGAATCTGGACTTTCAACCACTCCTACTGCTCCATGGAAAGAAATAATACCGCAATTGTTTTCGAGGCTCAGTCATCCTGAGTCTTATGTGAGGACAAGAGTATCTGAATTGCTGTGTAGAGTTGCAGAGAATTCACCACATTTGATCACCTTCCCGGCGGTAGTCGGTGCGGTTTCTGGTCAGAAGAAAAATTGCGACAAAGTTATCTATGAGAAAGCGGAAACTGATTCATCTCAGAACGATTTAGATTTTATAGAAGAAGAAGAGGAAATTGGCGCTGAAAGTTCTGTTGCGGCTTATCAAGACGAGCAAGAAAAATTCATGGACTGTTGCTTCTCGCAACTGGTAGATTGTCTGTCGAACAGAATTCAGGATTCCATCGAACAAGTTAAAATACTCGTGAAGGAGCTGCGTCGAATTACATTGTTGTGGGACGAGCTATGGTTGGCGACACTGTGCCAGCATCACACTGAAATCTCCAAGCGATTTGAGCAATTAGAAATGGAGGTGCAAAAGGTCCAAGATAATGCTTGGCTGAGCGCCGAAGAGAAAGATAAATTAATCGCAGAAAAGCACCGGATCATATTGAAACCTATAGTCTTTATATTAGAGAATCTTTCGGCCATGACTTCCGTTACGGCTGAAACACCACACGAGAGAAACTTCCAGGAAAAGTTTGGCCCATCGATAGATGAAGCAATAAGTAAATTAAACAATCCTAAAAATCCTGCGAAGCCTCAGATTGCGAGTATGTGTTTAAAACAATTAGAAGGGAAATTAGCTCAGCGTGTACATAGACGAGCTGCGTACTCTCTCTCTATGAACGATATTAGTCCAATATTAGCCAACCTGCGAAATACGTGCATTGCTATGCCAGGTGTTGCTGCCAATGATAATAAAATCGTCACCATTGAATCTGTAGATAATAATGTCCAGATATTACCAACTAAAACCAAGCCTAAGAAGCTCGTTTTCCATGGTTCAGATGGACACGTTTACACGTACTTGTTTAAAGGTTTGGAGGACCTTCATTTGGATGAAAGAATTATGCAATTCTTGAATATATGCAACACCATGATGTCGAAGAAAGGTGACACGAAAAAGGTGTACAGGGCGCGTCATTATTCGGTGATACCATTAGGACCAAGATCTGGTTTGATACAATGGGTGGACGGTGTGACGCCTTTGTTCGTGCTTTATAAAAAATGGCAGCAGAGAGAGAGCGCGATGCTTAATAAAACGAGCAGTTCGGCAGTGTTAAGACCTTCAGAACTGTTTTACAATAAATTAACCCCGCTATTGAAAGAGCGGGGAATTGGTTTGGAGAACAGAAAAGAATGGCCCATTCAAGTGTTGAAACAAGTCTTGGCCGAATTAATGGCCGAAACACCTAAGGATTTGTTGGCAAAGTTAGTTCTGTTTTCTAAAAGACTTTACTCTTCCTATCACGAATCCTTATCTCTCCTTAGCGTTACGCGGTTCTTATATTCCCTGTACGAAAATTATTAACGATATTTTTTGATCTTTGTTTGTTGTCACAGAGAGATTTGGTGTAATAGTATAAACGCTGGAAGTTGGTGGCAGGCAACCAAAAATTATTCCTACTCGGTCGCCGTAATGTCGATTATCGGCTACATTATTGGTCTTGGTGACAGACATTTGGACAACGTGTTAGTCGATCTGAATACAGGCGAGGTTGTCCACATCGATTACAACGTTTGCTTTGAGAAAGGCAAGACTTTGCGTGTTCCAGAAAAGGTGCCATTTAGAATGACTCCGAATATCAGAACAGCGTTAGGAGTAACCGGTGTCGAAGTAAGATAACTGGGGTTACATCGTTGTTATATTGCCACACATCTATTCTGAACTATACATCTGATATAATCATTTCTTTTTAGGGCATATTTCGTTTAGCCTGCGAACATACGCTTCGAGTGATGCGTCGAGGACGAGAAACCTTGCTGACTTTACTAGAAGCGTTCATATATGATCCGCTAGTTGATTGGCGAGCTGGGGCGGATAATAGTATAGCCAGTTATGGAGCATGTCAAGCTAGAGCACGATGCACAGGTATTGGAAGGAAACAATTGGAACAAGAATTGACGCGAGCAATGTTCGCCGTTCGGACGGCGGAAATGCGTGCTGAGTGGTTAGCAAACAGGTTAGCGAATCAATAATTTATCCCTTCACTTTCTCGTGAAATTCAGTTTTGATTGGAATGGTTTGATTTTTTGGTTCTCAGAGATGAATTGGTTAAGATCTTTCCATCGTTATGTCATCATTTGAATTGTTGGGTAGAGGCAACAGATGCCTCGCGTCAATGTCAGGATTTATTACAAGATAGACATCAACAACTTGCTTTGGTCAAAGAAGCACAGGCAATGGGGCGTAGTCATCTACTATATTCCGTGATAAAACGTTATAACTCTTTTAAGAGAGCACGCGATGCTCATGAAAAAGCAAAAGCTGGGTTAAAGGAGAAGATAGACGATTGCGAAAAGCAAATTAACATGCATAATGTAAGCTTAATGTTTTAGTTCATCTATATCTTTGAGCTTGAAAAGATTTATTAGTATTTCATGTGTTTAGATGGCACTTGCGGCTATACGGGGTCCACAATTGGGACAATGGTTGTCAGAATTAGGAACGTCTACGAATCCAGAGGATCATGTAGTCTTTGATCTTGTCAAAGAATTTCTGCAGAATGCCGGACAAAGTCAAATGATCGTTCAGTGTGAGCAGTCTGAAAACGAGCTAACTCAGTTAGCTACGCAACAATCTATACTAATACGAAGCTGTCTAGATCTCTTGAGTCAATATTCGGCGATCTGTAGCTTATATCCTCTGAGCAGTATGTCACAGCATCGTACAGTACTCTATCACGCTTGGTCTAACAAACTTCTGAATTCGGGAAGCGTCGAGGCTTGCCGCGAGGTTATGGCGCAATTTGAGAATACCTTTGACCCAATCAAAAGCTCCAATAATCAGCAAGTTCAACAAATAATAACATTCTCTTATCAGATGCAAGCAATTCTGAACGAGGCGAATGAAAGATTAAAGAAAGCTTACGAAAGAATGGTTTCGGAAGGATTACCGGAATCAGTCACTAGAATAGAGAAAGCGTATGGAGAATCGAGAGTACAGATACAGAGTTTTTTGAGACGAGAAAAGGGAGCAGAAAAGGCACTCGAGTGTGTTAACATAACTGCCCTTTGTGCCTTGAATAAGAGGTACCTAATGATGGAAGGTGCAGCTAAATGCGCAGGAGACTGTTTAGTCGATCTTACGTCCAGAGAAGGGGATTGGTTTTTAGATGAAATGCGATTGATGTCATCTTTAATTGCCGAGCTGGTCAGTTTAATACCCGAGTGTCATAAGACGAACAATGATCCCAAGATATCTCTTATACTGAAATGTTTGAGAGGATCAGACTGCATCTATAAAGGATTGCAAGAACTCAATTATAATTTCCACACCATTATTCTGCCTGAAGCGATGAAAACGATTATAACTGAAGAGCCTACTGTGATCAGGATGATTGGAGAATTAACAGAAATAATTGTATCATCTGGTGTGCCACTTGGTGAGATCTTAGGTCAGTTAGAAATGCATCTGAGGTTCACTGTTATGGAGATGGACAGTCCACATGCGATGATACAAAATGTGGTGAACAACATGAGAATACGATTCGAAGCATTGCTGTCTCGACCAGCCGAAATTCAGGAACCGAATCAAGACGAGGCATTGACTCCTGGACAAATGCTCTTAATGGGCTTCAATGGGTTGTTCGAAAAGCTTCAAATGGAAGGTAACGGGCTGATCGCTACTCTGAGCACGTTGGAAATCCCGCATTCGTGGCGAAAAATCGATCAGATTCGAGAAGCAAAAGAAATGTCCGCGCCTATATTCAACAAAACAGCTTGTCAGGTTTTGGAGGACATATTCCTAGTCAAACGATTACACACTATACAGGAATTTTTCCTGATGTGCAGAGATATTGCAACTGCATTCAAGGGTGGTTTAGCAAATGTTTACGACGACGAAAGACTTAACAAACCAATAAGAATTTTCACAGCGGATTACGTATCGAGACAGCTGCTTGGTGTTACTTCTCAAACACTAGCTATCGCACTCTGCTTTTTACTACAGAGGTTGGGATTAAGCGTTACCACCGAGATTGAACAGAGGGATATCGGAGCTGAGAGTAAAGTCTCAATAGAAGAACTGTGCAGAAAGGTTGTTGATCTCTGTTTGAAGAGAGGTCTTTTCTCTGGACCTGTTCTCGCGCAAGCTAGCGCACTCAGTAGTACTCTCGAAAGCGCATGGCGAAGAAAACAGAGTGCACGGTTTGCTCAACAGTGCGTCGAGGTAGTTAGGGCTAGTATGCAGAGACTTCAGCTGCAACTAACAGCTCACCATTGGCTGCACGAGGATAGCTTAATGATGAGGACGAATGTTAATCTAATGAATCCTTTGAATCGCTCTGCATTCATGCTGGAACTGCGAAAAACAGCTGCGGCACTATCTGGTCTACAATCACGAGTATGTGAAGCACGAGAACAACAACAAAATCTTGTTTCCAGCGCGGTACAACGATTAAAATGGGCTGCTGGAGCAAATCCAGCTCTCGGAGAAGTTATGTCCGCTTTCGACAACGCGGTGGTTTCATCTTGTGAAAAACTAACTCGACAGCATAATCTCGCAACCAGTGTTATCAATACCTGCAATTCTATATTACATTACGAGGCTCTAAGGACCAGAACATCCGAAAGTCTAACGCACGATACGAATTTCGTCAAATTGATCAAACATTGGGAAGAGAGTTGTATCTTAACGATAAATCTGAACATAACTGTAACTGCGATTGAAGAGAGTCTTGTCGAACTGTTGCAAATGGACAGTAACGTCGACATGAACTGGTTAAAGCATGCCGAAAGATTTATCTCCGAGGCGATACTCGATGTTCAGAAGAAATTGCAAGAAAAACAAGAAGGTTTGATCTCTGCTCAGGAACGTTTGAGAGAACAAGTGTCAAACTTGCAAAGCGTGTTAACGATGCACCACGTATTGATGTCGGACGTTCGAATTTTACTACGAACTATGGTGAAACAAGAGAACATTGAAGGCTTGCAAGAATTTCTCTCTTCTTATCGATCTTTCACCGAGAGCATATCGGCAAGTGTCAAGGAACTTGAACGTGACAGTCTGGATGTTAACAGAGGTAGAGCGATTAAAGACGAATTGGAGAAGATGGCAACTATCGTGCCAAATTTGTATAACGAGTTGTTGGAGTTCGCCAATGAAAAGAAAATAAATCCAGCAAAGACACTTGAAAAGCAGAAAGAAATGGAGAAGGAAAAAGAGAGGGAGAGAGAAAGAGAGAGTGAAATTGACCCTTCAACAGCTGGTTTAATGAAGAAGAAGGGAAAATTAATGAGGCAGGAGGGCATGTGTTACAGTCCTAGAAAGGGAATTCCATTGACCCGTGATCCAACTACTGGCAAAGGCAAGAAGCTTTAGAATAGCTCTAACTATCGATCTCTATGAGACTACGCCAATTTTTTCTCCTCTAATTTTTCATTTGTATGTATTTATTTTCTTGTTCTTATAGCTGTCCAAGAGCGGAACGCGTATGCACTAAATGTTTGGCATCGTGTGCGAATGAAGTTGGAAGGATGTGATCCTCATCCAACGCGCAAGTACACAACGGCCGAACAAGTGGAATACGTGATACGCGAAGCTCAGAGCACCGATAATTTAGCCCTCTTATACGAGGGTTGGACACCATGGGTCTGAACGAAAGCAGATTGACGCAGTCGCGTCGATGGTTCTATGCTCGTTACACACGGTACTCGAGTTCGTACCGTTCTACGCTCTACGCTCGACGGAGCCTAGCTCTCTGTCCGACCAGGTGTGAAGTACACATCTTCGTTGCCACCTGGAAGAGAAAGTTCATGCCCGCAAGGATCATGCCGTTTAAGTTCGGCAGCGCGCACTTGCATACAAGGAAATTCCTGTGCGACCCGCGATCAAACTTCGATACTGCCACCGATTCTATGATTATCTCAAAAATCTCTCGTTAAACAGCGCGTACAGTGCGATCTACCAAGGTTTCTTCTTTCCTATTTTCCGTCTATACGTAATCTTTGTCCGTTTTCTTTCGTCATGCAACTTGTCTGGTTACAGTGGACAGGCGTGCAATAGCTCGAGAAACGATAAGAAGCGGAAGTTAAAAGAAAAGCACGCGCGTAATTTGTTAATTGTGGATAGGGCAACAGAGAATGCTTCAACAAGTAGGTTGAAAGCTGGGAGGGAGGATAGAAGGAAAAAAATATACCGACGTACGATTGAATCAAAGTCAGCGGTCTTTTTACGTATATTGCTTGTATGTTCAAATGTCTCGATGTTAAAATTTGGGAAAAGCATAGAATCTGCCGCATCTTTGAAATAACGAGAAGCAACGACGGAATGTTTGGACGGTGATGCGGAGGAGCTCGATGATGATTAACGCGTCGATGGTGACACGTTAAGTGCCACAGACATTCGTTCGAAGGAGGAGCCCTTCTTTTGACCATTTACCTATTATTTCTCTATTTTTAGCAAATCTGTCGGTCGGTCGAATTTTATGATCATAAATTCAGTCTCGGTAGAAACGTACATGCTGTTCATGAGTAGTCGAAGATTCATATGGAAATTTAGAGCGGGACCAAGAACGATGATGTCACTATCGAGTCGCGTATGAAGTAACAGAGATTCACTATTGAGATGCCGGATAGAAAACCAATCGTATTTTGCGTATTCGTATTCGCTACTCGATATTATACTAAATCATCTTGATCAGCGATTTTACTTTTTTTTTTTTTTTTTTTTTTTTTTTTTTTAAAGGAGTGGGAGTACATGTTTTTCCGAATTTTCAATCGATAATTATCCAAACCATACAAGGTTACGTTCAATTTATCTTACGTCACTTTTTATATTTTACTGGAATTTAATTTTACATTTTTGCTTCTTTGCACATTTTAGAATATCATTTTCTTAAAACCACCATTCGTCTTCTGCATGATTCTGATTGTTTTTTTTTTCTAATAAGTATCTTACAACGGTCGTAGTAGTCGATCACCGATCTACAATAGCCCATACAAAAGAGAACATCAGGAAAAATAACAATATTGCAAATATCCAACAAGAACAAATTTATTCCTTTTCGTATTAAAGCAAATGCTGCATAACTATCAAAAGGAGCGCTTGATCATGGCATTTTTCTTTTTTTTGTGGGGGAAAGGGGGGAAGGAGAGAAGGTCGTACTTCATAACCAATAAAGTTTACGGTATGTATAAAAATTATGAAAAAGATGTATTCCCTTCGGTTTAATTACACTTTTGAGAAGCAATCGTGTTTTACGTTCATTTACTTGGAACCTCTGTTTAATACGTATCACTATCATTCTTCCCTTTTTCCTGATTAGTTTAATATCTTTGATGCCTTCTCAAAGTTATTCATTCAAAATTTTCATTTCATTTTTATTAAAATTCTATTAATATCTCAAAATAGGCATTGTATACTTTTATTCAGTCTTTACCTTACCCCCTTTCTCCTGCTGCAATCGGGATTGTAAAATATCGTTGTATCAGTGAACCCACCAAAAAAATACTGCTTTCAATAAAAGAACGTAAATTTTTTAAATAAATTACATTGTAATTCAATTCTATATTACAATATTGAAAACTTTAAAGTTATATTACACTTTATATCACGTTGTTTATCTTACTCTACTTGTATACACTGTACGCGCATGCGTGAACAGGCGTATGCGTGAACGCACGCAACAATAATTAAATTTTGAAAAAACCGCCCACAATGAACGTTGCAACGTAAATAAAATTTTACATTGCATTTTTTGCAATTTTACACAGAATTAAATGTTAGAATGTGAATTAACGCGATTGCTAATTATCAGTAATAAAGACAAGTGAAATGTCTGAATTTATTGAAATTAAAGTTTCGAATTCCCTGAAAGAATTCCCCGGAAAATGTGTATTAGAAAAATTCATTTTCTTACCTCGTTAGCTCTCAAATTCAAACCCGTTAATTCAAATAGTTTTACGTCAGTCTCTTCAACTTATATACCCTTTACCTTTTTTAAGCAACTTCGTAAGTTACTAATTTCTTTATGGTATTACCTCCATTGTATTAAATTAACCAATAAATAAGCTTTATCCGTGAAAATTTTCATGTGTCACGCTTTAAAAGTTGATCAATTTGTACTTTGTACATCTCTTTGATATCTTGGAGATCCAAACGCAATTCTTCATTCTCTTCCATTTTTTCACCGTACATTTGTAACAACGCGTCGTATCTAGTTTGTATTTCTCGCAAACTTTCGTCTAAAACCGCAACTTCCATAACTTTACCATTCAATTCTTCGATCTTTAAAGTTAATGTAGATAGCAATGAATTTAGCGCATCTCTTTCTATGTTACGTCGCGACAGTTCCCATTGAAGTTGCTGTATTTCACCTGAAATACAATATCGATTAATCGACACTGGTGTAAATAGTCGAAATGAATATGGGTTTATGATAGACATTCAAAAGTATACCATCTTTTTGTTTCAACTGAGCTTGCAGATTTTCAAATACTGAAGTACTACTACTTGATCCCGCTCTAATACTGTCAAACGCCATTGCATACATTTCAGGGTTGTCTTCGGCAGTAGGATCGCACAACTGCAACAGAGAAATAAAATCTTCCAACTTCCTGCCCTAGAAAAAGAAGAAGATGATCACAGTATATACCCATTACCGGCCAAATACTGTCTATAGTGTTGACCGGATCTTGTTCTGCACTGGTGTTAGGATTAAGTAATTCGTTGTCTTGGATATTTTGTTGCTTCTCCGATATCGCGTTCTTTCTCCTTTCTGCATCGGTAGCTGCTTTTTCCACAGCCACTTTATTTTCCAACGCAACGATTTCTCTATTTAACTCCGCTATTTGCGAAGAATGAGACTGTTCTAATGATTCTATGGTTTGTAGATATCTGTAGGTAATATTTTGCATGAATTTTTTCCACCTCCATCAAGCACTTCAAAACTGAAGATATTAATTTTTCTTACCGCGCACTCTGTTCGGTTAGCTTTTCTTTTTGCGCTACTAATTCATCATACATCTCTTGCAACCGCACACCATCGTTCTCTTTGGCAGCAAGCTTCGCCTCTAACTGAGATAACTTGGATTTTAAGTCAACATTCTCTTCTTTAAGGTAACGATCTGTTTCGAGTAAATTTTCCACTTTTATCTGCAACTCCATATTCTTGTCGGACAATGCTTTCTCCTGTTTCATAAAGCTATTAGATTTATGTAATAAATTTGCTTGAAGTTGTTCCAATTGTCTTAATAATGGTTTCGTAGCCATTGATGTGGATTCTGAGAGTTCCTCGCACCTAGCTTCAGATGCTTCTAAACGTTTTAGTAATTCGCTATTTTCATGCTTGAAAAACTCTTCCTTTCTGTGTAGAACAAAAAACAGAGAGCCTTAGAAATTATCCGAAACTAAGCACAACTGAGAGATTATGCCTGTAAGAATATATTTACTTCACGTGCATTTCCTCGGATTCCCTTAACTTGATTTTTAATTCTTCTATTTGCACTAATAGTTGACACGATTCTCCAGCGTTAGTTGATGCCTCCTTTAATTCCGCTTCTGTAGTGGCTAAAAGTTTCTTTGTCTCAGTTAACTCCCTGAAAAGTAGTAGTAAAATGGTTGCTCTGATGATACGTGAACTATGTTTCATCACAAGTATTGGGTCATTTTACTAACATTTTCGTAGAATCTAAGCTTTTTTTATATATATCCGCATTTTGCATGGTACTTTCTAATTGTTTTTGTAAAGTCGCTATTTCTTTTTCCAGCGTCTTTGTTCGTGCTGTTAAAGAATAAACAGCATCTATCTGAGATAGCTCAACTTCCTCTTTTGCCCGCAATGATCTTTTCAAACGTTCCAATTCAGAAGTTTGTTCCTCTATTTGCTCCCTACAAATGTTTTACATTTTTGCAACACGAGAAAGCAAAAAAAAAAAAGAATAGAACACACGTTTACTTACGTACTTTTGACTTTTTATTAAAATATCACTTTCCTTCTCCTTAACTCGTAATTTTTTAATAATGTTACTATGTTGAAGTTGTTGCTTGCTCAATTTTTCTCCTTCTTCTCTAAGCTCTTTGATAATTTCATCTTTTTCAGCATTTAGAGTGGACATTTCTTGAGAAGACAAACGCGTAGCCGCTTCTACTTTTAATTGATCTAAATTCTTCCTCAACGAATCTCGTTCTCGTATCGCTTGCTGAAATTTTCTTTCTAAAGCAGATAGTCGTTGTGTGTATTCGTCCGTGATCTGATTCAAGTTTTGACTTTGCTCTGCATATTTCTCAAAACTATCAAGTTGCCTATGTAATGGGGAAAAATTGAAAGTGTTATGATATATCGAGAAATGAAAGATGAACTCTGCGATATTTACTACACACCGAGGATAATACTTACTTTTTCAAATTACTATTTTGCTCGTGCAATTCCATATTCATTCTACTAACATCAATGAGCTTCGATTCCCTGGCTTCCAATATTTCTGTCATCTCTTGTATACGTTTTAATAATTTTTCTATTTCCACGTTTGCCTCGTCAGATCCTACGCTAATTTCGCTCAAGTCTCTCGAGTGTCCTTTACTTTTTAACGTCCTCGATAAAAAATCACCGCCTTTGGATAATTGCTTTGTCAGACTTTGTCGTGTTTGCGTTGAGCTCGAATCACCATTTGGACTGTTTTAAGGAGAAATCATTTGTTATTAAATTCGAAAGTTAAATTGCATATAATTAGTTTACAATCGTGTATACACCTGGATATGATTTCGATATCGCTGGAAGTAGTGGTTTCTAATTCATCTCCACTAGTGTGCCCGCTTGTCTGATCCGAGCCAATCTTAACCAGGTCGGATCGACTGTAATGAACGAAATTAAATTTATATTCTTCAGGTCAGTGTGAGAATTACCTAATTAAGAAGACATGTTCTCCTTAAACAATACCTTTCCGACGAAATAGGTGAATTTTCTCGAGGCATTTCCGCACCCTGTATTTCCGCTTCGATGATCCCACCACCACCCTTTTCTATCATCGCGTCTTCCAACATCGTTTTCACGTAGGAACTAGAGTTCAAGGGTGCGTCTACATTTTTTTCATCTGATTTACGAATCATCTGCTGAGTTTCCTCTGAACTACTCTCCATCAAGGTTCCCTCGCAACTTGAGTCTGTCGAGATCAAATGCTGATCCGGAACTTCTACAGTATCCGACCTAAATGGATGGGCAACCTCGTTAGATGGATAAGGTTCCGGTTCCGCGGGTTCTATGGTGGAATTTATTAATCGATTGAAATTCGTTAGATCGGTTTCAGATTTTTTTCCAGTTCCATCGAAATACTCTGGCTTATGGATAGGCTGCGTTGTGATTGTTTCAATTGGCAAGTGTAAATTATGCTTTTCGCTTAGGGAGTCTAAGCTCATATTTACTCGTGAATCTGTACTGCCTTTTTTTAACGTCAGTTTGCCATCAGGGTACGAATCATGCATTTTTCCACTTGTAGAAATCTCGATAGGAATTTCCATTTTACCCTTGACTTGTTCCTTCTGCTGTAGTGTTTCTAATATCGTCGTGACAGTACTTTCTGAGGCAGAAGTGCACGAGTCTTCCCCCAAACTCGCTTCGTCCAGCTCGTCCGTGTAAGGTACTGTTTCTACGTTTTCTGGTGAAACTTTCATTGCATGTCCACTGGATAAACCTTTGGATACATGTGGTCCTGTGCCTGAATACGTTCCTGTCGACGGTGTACTATCCATACTGCTTACACATGAATTTCCATGGGGTGTTTTAACTTCTTCCATGGGAGATTCATATGGAGAAATATCAGAAGACGATGGATGTGCCGAATTTTCTTTATTGATGACCTGTGGAACATTGATGTCTTCCCAACAAGGAGTTACAGAGTCATCTCTATCTAGCAAAGAAGATGATTCGGAGTTTCTTGGATCCATTGGAGATAAATATGGACTGGAATCGCTTTTCCAATCTCCTAAGACTTCTACAGAGCTTGGAGATGTAACTAGACTATCTGGTAGCACCTCTACTGACTCAGAATTAACTTTAGTACCCACAGCAGAAGAGCTTGGTAAATTACTAACAGAACTACCATCGGACTCGGGAGTAGTCGTACAATCGGTGCTAGATCGAGAACCAAGAACTTCGACACTCTCTAGACTCTTCTTATCATTCTCTGGAGATACAATAGACAATCTGTTTGATATAGAAGCAGTAGAATCTGAATCTTGCTCACAATTTTCTTTCTTTTCACTTTCAGACGTTTCATCTTCATTTTTAACAACATTTTCTTGACCTGGGGAAGGCTCAATTATATTAGGTGTTTCTATGTTATTCCTTGGACAATCATTGATCTCTTCATCTTTATTAGAGGCTGCACTTGTTGTAGCAATGGTATCACAAGGATCCACTTGCTTTGGAATATTACTAGATGTTTCAACAGTATCTGGACTAAGAACACTTTGCACCTCATCATGAACATTCTTTTCTTTGAAAATTTCCATCTTTTTAGGTTCCTCTGAAGGACTTGAAATCTTACTTTTATAATCTTCTGAAAACGACAATGAAGATACAAGTTTTTTCCCACTTTCAGTAGGTGTACTTTGCAAAGACTTGGAATGGGTAGCAGATCTGTGCTTTGCATCATGAAATTTTTGTGATTCAAAGAACGATCCAGTGAAGCTACCCCATATACTACTCGTGGTATCTGGTTTAGTTTCCTTAGGCTTTTCACGGTGATGTGGTTCATCACCTTTTATTCCCCATGATGCAAAAAAGTCTGATGTATCCTCTGTATGACCTTCCAATGGTTTTTGATCCTCATCTTTGATATCTAGTGCTTTATCAATTGTCTTTTGAGCTTCTTTCAAAGCAGATTTGGCCAAATTGGCAAATCCAGTGGCATCAAACCAACTCATTTTTTATCGTACCTAAAATTGTAATTAATGTGTATACAATACTGACTATCCAAAAGAGGTTACGTGTCAATATGAAGAATAGAGAATGAGAAACTGATTTGTCATAAAGGTAAAGTATAAGATAATTGGAGGTTAGGGTTATAACAACAATGTTTGTAGTTTACAAACTCCAATATTATTTTGTATAATCTTCAAAGATTCATAAATTCATGCAGTCGTTTACAAAAGAACTGCAGAAGAGGCGAACCAAATAAATCATTTAAAACGAAATATGACAGAAAACTAATTGCGTCTTCGTATGAAAATTTACGATTAGTTTAAAAAAGAAAAAGAAAAGGTAAAAAAGGATGTAATTTTCGTGAAATCTATCGTGCACTGACATAGATTATATTTGAAATTAAATTAAAATCGCAGTCATCAAAATATTAGCAAGGGTTGCATAAACAAAACATGTTGAATCATTGACAATGACAGTCATTGATCGATGAAAAAAATAGCATGTACTTACACGTACTTATTCGCATATCGTTTACAGAGCTTTTCGCAAAGTACGGAATAGGAAAATCACTGGAAAATATTCCCGTACAAAATAATCTTGAACTTTTTCTATCGTAAACTTGGACTAAACTGTTACACTGGAACGAAACTACCGATATGCGCATGATGTAGCAACATATTATGTAAATGTTGTCTTTGTAGAATAAATTATAACAATTAAATATATCATTAAGTTTAAGAAAGTTTATATATGAGAAATGAAACAGACGGATGCAATTTGTCAGACATTTGACAATAACTGCGCAATTGTATTCTGCTTTTTCATTTTTGATACGCAGTTCCCAATATTTTTATGATAACAAAACACACGGTGCTTTTTTCCTATTTTTTCGTAGAGTTTCGATATGTCAATAAGATGCTCACTAACAGTTGTTCTGCTTACATTATGCATACGTGTACATGGCGGTAATTTAGCAATGTTTTCTCCCATATTTCTCGTCCATAACGAGTCCTTATTTTTGCAGAGACTGTGTGTTCTATTATTAAAGTTTCTTCCACAAATTGTTTATTGCAAATAACAGATAATCGACCAAGCAAACACAATAGTTTGTAATATATTTTTTTTAATTTAATGACCGAGATACTGAAAATCGTTTTTGGAGCAAACTGTTTTCAACAGCTCCAGTGGCGCAATCGGTTAGCGCACGGTACTTATAAGACAGTGAATCGTGAGCAATGCCGGGGTTGTGAGTTCGAGCCTCACCTGGAGCAGTTTTTTTTTTAATCTTAAATTTCACCCACTCTTGTAAATTTATCGGGTATAGGTGATTATCACGCACAGGTTTTGAATAAAATTTCTTCTTAAAAGAATGTACATAAGTTATCAAGGAAAATAAGAATAAAATAGATTTTGCACGAGTTCTACTTGGATTTATTGTTTCGATCTGGTTTTATGAAAATCGAATTGGTAAATACCACGCGCTTAACTCTGAACAAAGTTTCAATCCGAGCGCAAACAATGCAGCAGACAACAATGTGCTTCTAGCAAAAGAATCGTCTTTTAGAGTACGAATGACGCAGGAAAGGGAACAAGTACAGACATCCTCAAAGTAACCGCTATTCTTGTACAACAAATATTCATCAATGATGCGTTGCCTTTCTTCAAGTTTCCGCATTCTACTTTCTGCAGGAATCATTATCAATTACTGTAACATCTGACATGGAGAAAAATTACAGATAACAAAGCTGTACTTGCTTTGCGATATACGTCGAGGACAAGACGAATCGCATTCGTCTGGTGGCATCGCGAGATCTTCTCTTTCGTCCGTAGCTTCTTGCTTCGTCATTTCCGTACCTGTCGCTTCGGTTTTTTCTAAAACCGATTCTCCTACAGGTCTAGTAGTATGTTCCACAGCATCGGTTTCCACCAACTTATCATCCTGTGCCTTATCTAACAGTGCAATCCTTGAGAGCTTTTATTCCTCGATTTTACACGCTCTAATTACCTTCCCTCCACTGCGTTCCAGATTCTACTTGCATTCTTGCGAGTTCCGTGGCTTGACTTTTCGAGGAAACCTCTTTCGTTGCATCTATCGCTGTATCTATCCCGGCTAATTGTCTTTCATCCGCATCTTTACGATAGCCACGATGATCTGGGACAGCGTCGTGAATTTTTGCAAGTTCGTCCGCCTTTTGCCAATCTTCATTGTATGTAATATGCGATCTAGCATTTAGAAATTTTTCATCCACGATGTCTAACGCCGGATCGCGAGCTCTAGCAACGATCGTTGTTTGGTCGCCATCCGTAGAATGGTCTTTCTTCAAAATCCACGGTGCTTGGGTGGCTAAAAGCTTTGTCAGTTATCGTGGAACAGCGAGAGAAGACGTTTTCAGATAAAGGATAACAGACGCGAATCGTACCTATTCGTTTCAGCTGTACCTTTACCACGGGGCACCATGGATCGCATGTGGGCATTTGGATGAATTATTATAGAGGTTCAACAAGAAGTTCCATAATCGAACTTTCGATCGAGAAACCGATCATTTGACAGCTTACTACATATTACGTCATTACATTCGCTTGACAAATGATATTCGTACATTCAATTATCGTACTGCTCCATCTGTTGCTTGCAGCATAAAACATTTAAATAAAAAATTATCTTTGAAGCAAATGTGCTCGGTATTATCGAAGAAAAATATCGAAGAAAATGTTCAGGTATCCGAGACGTTAAATTCTTCCGATACTTGTGATTGCAAAGATTTTGAAAAACCGGGAGAAACTGTAGTTATTACCCGAAAAGGGGATGAATTACCTTCGAATTATCTTAATCAGAGAATTTTTGGATTGTTAATACCCGCGTTAAAAGAAACGCTTATCGAGGCTTCCAAATGGAATGCTCTCAGGGTATATTTGTTGTTTAACTTAACATTCATTTAATAACACTTTTAAACGTAAAGCAGTAAAAGTTAAAAATGAACGGTTGTAGGTTCAGAAATGTCGGTTCAACGGTCTCGATTATATTTCGGAGATTTTGTGGAATCGGAACCCACGTCGGTCGCAGATATATTTTCCGTCGTTAAATGTATTTGACATACCGCCATTTAGAGAATATTTGCGCCTTCAGTAAGCAAATAAATATCCCACTAATAATACGCTTATATCAAAGAATCAGCATTTTTAATTTATTCCCTTCATTAGTCCTAGGCCCTATTATCCGAAATCTTGGTTATGGTCCGAGGATGAAGCAGCATTATACATACAAAGATACGTTCGCGGCTGGTTCGTGAGAAAACGGGCAGACGTTCAGGAAATGAGGCAATTTTGGAAGGTTAGTAAATGAAATACTACTACGTATTATGACACTGTACTGTTCCTTTTTGTTGTTGCGTTATCTTACATCGATCTTTCTACATAAATTCGTAGAACGTCACTGGAAAAAAACTCTTTGGCAAACGGAAAAGTTGCGTCGTGCATACGCAATATTTGGGTACGTTCTGTTTCATATATTTTGAACGATAACGATATTAAGAAACATTTAACGTACTTACAGGTAAAATACAGCACGGTACAAAACAGGAGATAACCGACGAAGATTTGGTTCGCTGTGAAAAGTATCGTTCAAAGGCTGGCGATCGCAAAACAATACGAAAATCGAAGAAGAAAAGCACACTTTAGATGGAAGATTCTATAAAAAGAGAGTAGATTTTATTTAAAAAATATTCTATCTTTTCTGTTAAATTGCAATACACATGCAACATACACCGCAAATACACGATACACATATACAGTTCATGTTCACGATGTATTCTCTTCTTTAATGTTCGCGTACAAACTAGGATTTGCACTTCTATCTAATTCTAAGCTTATTTCCGCCGTAGGAGTTTCACCCTCCTCGGCGACCCTATAATTTTTGAAGCCTGTCATATTGTATATAAGTTCCAGTCTTAGATCAGGATTTTTCCGTTTCTCTTGCTTTGCTTGGCGAATTAATATTTCTTTCAGAAGAACTGGCAAGTCGGTTGTTCGTGGCATGATTTTTTGCGGTGGTATTTCGGTACGTTTTGTATAATTCTCTTCTTGATCTTTAGGTATTAGGATATAATCTGGTTTGTAACTCGTGTAATCTATTTGAAACGGTTCAGGATGCCTTTTACCTCGAAAAACTTTATCGACAAGTACCATCACATTTCGCGGATCCTGAAATATGCAAATTCACTTTTAATAACCTGTGTTTGTCATCATCAGAGAAACACAGCAAAGAAAAGGAACACACGTGAAAATGTTTCGAAGTATCCGGCAATGCAACTACTTTCAATATTCTCATGTAACATGTTTCGGAATATACTTTCTCATTACTTCTAATCACCATCCTACCAACACCATGATGCTTTAAGTTTCCCAATATTTCCCATAAAGGTTTTCCTATTAAATTGTGTGTTTTACCAATATATTTTATCGTCATATTCGTAGACTGTTTAGCACTATCAATAACAATCGAACCTCTTTTTCACAACGAGGTTAGAACTGTGTACTCCACCGAAGCTAGCGCTATATTACGTCGTGGCGCAATTGAGTTAGATGGTACAATCGTACGCTAAGTTATCGGGCGATGATATCGTATGCTGTCACCGAGAAGATAAAGAAATGCTGTGAAGATTATTAAGAAACAGCAGTTTAAATAAAGAATAAAGGTAACGAGGTAACAGCGAATTAGCGTTTGTCGGTTTAATATTCTCTACCTCGTCTGTGGTAGTGGTAAAGTTTCTGATAAAAGAAGAAAAAAAGTAATGAAATTACATAATGCAGTATATTCTCCACAAGTGTCAGACCGCAAGGAAGCTAAACCTGACACTCGTAGAGTCAGGGACCGCCTTTGTAGTTTGCCGAACGTAGACAAGGACAGCGAATAAAAGATAAGCATGAAAGGTGAGTCGAGGCAACCAAGCGATTTAAATATCAACTTTTTTAATTTTACGTTTTTTTATCCCGAAATTTTTCTTGACATATTGACGAAATTTTTCTGATGAAAATGACATAAATTGAACAACATTTACTTATTAACTGTCGCGCCAGA